ATTAAAATATCACTTTTGAGTAGTAATATTGTGAAATATTATTACCATATAAAATAATTTTATATTGTAATATAAGTTCAAATGTAAATTAAAATATCACTTTTGAGTAGTAGTATTGTGAAATATGATTATAAGTTAAAATAACGGTTTTATATTGTAATATATTTTAAAAATCTAAATTACAGTAAAATATCACTTTTGATTAGTAATATTATAAAATATGATAAATTAAAATAACTGTTTTATATTGTAATATCTTTTCAAATGTCGATTAAAATATCACTTTGGATCAGTAATATTGCAATATATTTTTTACAATTTAAATTAGTTGTTTTATATTGTAACATACTTTATAATTAGTGATATTGTGAAATATGATTGCAATTTAAAATATCTTTTATGTTGTAATATATTTTAAAATGCAAATTAAAATATCAGTTTTGATTAGAAATATTGTGTAATATTAGTACAATTTAAAACAACTCTTATGATGTAATATATTTCAAAATGTAAATTAAAATGATCACTTTCATACATCTATGCTAAATCAAAGTATTAATTTCTTTCAAAAATCTTACTACCCTCGTGTTAGAATTGCTGATTTACAAATCTAATTGAAATTGTGAAACGCATCAAAAAGCAGTACGCTACACTGCGTTTCCCACTCACTTCCTGATGCTTCATGTTGTCTGTGTTTTTTTCCCAGGTGATGATGACTTCCTGTTGGGGTTGGGTGAGCTGCCGGAGACCTTCCCCAGCGACCCTCCAGAGCCCCTCCCACACTTCCTGCTGGAGCCGGAGGATGCTTACATCATCAAGAACAAAGCTGTCAATCTCTACTGCACGGCCACGCCTGCCGCTCAGATCTACTTCAAATGCAACGGCGAGTGGGTCCATCAGAGAGAGCACACCATAGAGGAGCGGGTGGACGAGACGTCGGGTCAGTCGCACACACACACACACACCATCACTCTCCTTTATGGGTCGGAAACATTACGGTGCAATAAAAATGTGATAGCCCTGCTTTATTCATGGTTTTCATTGCTAAAGGTGCTGCTAGAGAGATAGATTAACCCCTTCCTGACATCAAAAAAAAAATCCAAATATTGAAAAAAATCACATTTAAAGTTGTCCAAATTAAGTTCTTAGCAATGCATATTACTAATAAAAAAATGAAGTTTTGATAAATTTGCGGTAGGAAATTTACAAAATATCTTCATGGGGCATGATCTTTACTTTATCCTAATGATTTTGACAATGTATTTTTGGCTATTGCTACAAATATACCCCAGCGACTTAAGACTGGTTTTGTGCTCCAGGGTCACATATTTAGGAAGATGAATAAGTGCTAATGCAACATAAATTAAAGATTTGAATTATCTACTACTACATTCAGAAGTTTGGGGATTGTAAGACTTTTTAATGTTTAAAGAAGTCCCTTCTGCTCACCAAGGCTGCATTTATTAGTTAAAAAATACAGTAAAATCAGTAATATTGTGAAATAATTTCTATTGTAATACATTGTCAAATTCAATTTATTCCTGTTACGCAAAGCTGAATTTTCAGCATCATTATTCCAGTCTTCGAATATGCTGTCACTTTTGATCAATTTAATGCATCCTTGTTGAATAAAAATAATAATTGGCTGACTCCAGACTGAATGAGAAATCTAGCTATAGAATAAGACAGTTTAGGGTAATGTTTCACCTATAGCACTCAATTGCAACAGCACTAAGAATGCAACACTTTTAAAATGAAACCAAGCATTTGCTCTCACATATCTGCATATGTTTTAGGCCTAATGTTTGCTGCAGAAGACAGAAGCACTGCCGTGCATTTCGAGGTTGGGAAAGCTAGCAGCCCTCCACTAATGTTCGATCATTCAGAATGAAAATAGCCCGTTTTGGCCGAGGCTGAAGCGCAGTCACCTCACCGCAGGAGAAACCGACACGAGCCGCTCTCTGTGTGTGGGCGAGCGAAGAGCTCAATTCATTACGCAGAGGTTAACAAGCTCCTATTGAGCTAATGACTCTAATGGATCTTTGATATCAACCCGCCGCAGTAATTCTGCTCTAATATCTCTGCAGTGGAAACTTTACTGTCATAATCACACCTCGGATATTACTCGGGGTCAGAGCGTGGAGTTATTACGGGCCGCCGAAACGGGGCCGACTGCTCTAAACACTGTCATTGAACTTTAATGTGCAACGGTAACGTTTATCATAAAAAATTATAGTGCGTGTGAGAGAGAAAGAGATTTAGAGAGAGAGAGAGCGAGAGAGATATGGTTTATGCTTTTAATTAGATTTCTGTCAGAGGTCTGTCTTTGTTCGCCGGCCGCGGGCTCCCTCTGGCATCACTATCTGTCTCTATTTGGGATGGTGTAATATCGTTATGAATCAATTTCATTGTTCGTTTTGGCGATTGTGAGTAAACAAGGTTAAATCTGTTCCTTGTCATGAAAGCTGGTGTGTAATCGGCTCGTGGTGAGCGTGATGAGTGTTTTGGGTGTCTAAATTGTGCAGAAGATTCTGACTGAGATCTGGTTCAGTCAGAAAGACTCTTTCCTGCTGCGGGCTTCGTCTCAGAGGGCCTCGTTTAAACAGACGTCTTAGTATCTTTACACAACAGAACGGCATTCAGAAAAATGTCTGCACATTCACAATGTCAAGCAAGTTTGCATTGTTTTCTGGAAGACTGGTCATTTATCTTTCGGTGGGCAATAGTGATGGGATTTGAGCTCATAAAAACGGAATGAATAACATGTATAATTAGAAAAGAAAACTTCATCTATTATTTTAAGATATGAAAAATGCTACACAGTGATGATATGACCAATAAGTTATGAAAATGTTACTTTACTTTAATTTACATTACTGTAACTCCTCAAAATAACTAAAGCAATTTTCAACTTTAATTTATGTTGTACAAGCTTCAACTAATTTTTAAGCCAGTTTAATGTAATTTAAGTTGAAATGACTTAAACAGCTAAGTTGACTGTACTAGCAACTTATTTTTTACATTTTAGAAATTTATTCCTGAATCACTTGATTCATTGGAAACGGTTTAAACTGAATCACAAAAATGAATCAAATTTACTGATTCTAGATACTTTTATGCAACTAAATTTGAAATCTGGGATTGTATTTAAACGTCTCAGTCTCTGCTCTTAATAAAGCTCTTTTATTGAAAATATAAACTATCGTTCAAAAGTTTGGGGTTGGTTTTTAATGCTTTTGAAATAGGTCTCACCAAGGTTGCATTTATTTGATCAAAAATACAGTAAAAACAGTAATGTTGTGAAATATTAACATTTAAAATAACTGTTTTCAATTGGAATATATTTTAAAAAATATATTCCAAAGCTGGATCAGCACTCCAGACTTCAGTGTCACATGTTCCTTCAGAAATCATTCACGCTGATTTACTGCTCAAGAAACATTTTTGTTATTGACATTGTTGAAAATAGTTGTGCTGCTTCATATTTTTTTGTGGAAATGGTAATACATTTTTTTCAGGATTTTTTGATGAATAGCACATTTCAAAAGAACAGGATTTACTTGAAATAGAAATGTTTTGTTATAGATTATAAATGTCTTTACTGTCAACTTTGATCTATTTGTTGCATCCTAGCTGAATAAAACAATTGATTTCTTAAAGGGGTCATGGGATGCTACATGCACTTTTACAAGTTGTTTGAACTGAAATGTGTGTTGGTAGTGTGTGTACACAACCACCCTATAATGATAAAAATCCACCTAGTGTTTTTTTTTAATCTACTAAAATTTTTACCCCTTTCTCAAATCGAGCCGATCTCAGATGCCTGTCTGTGTGACATCACAAAAACAGGCCCCTCCCACGATAGTTTGATTGACAGTAGCGTTTCAGCACAGACTGGACTGGTGTCTTACCTTAGCTCCGCCCTGAGTGAGCTGTCATCAGTCTGCCATCGTTTCACCGCCGGAGCAGATGTAGACAAGAATGGCTCCTAAGCGATTGAGGTGTTCTGTTGTTGGATGTAATAATGAACATAGCAGTCGTCATTTACTCCCGACATCTGAGCCGCTGAAGATGCAGTGGATTACATTTGTTTCTGAAGAGAATGCGCCCCCGATCTACATAAATGCGTCTATCTTCGCGCGAATCATTCGTGATCCGATAATGTTTTGTAATGAATCTTTGGCAAATGGCCTTTCCTAATAATGTGCTAATTAGTAAGTTTCACGATGAATGTGGCTAAAGTAAACAGTCTCTCTCATTTGTTTCTGAAGAGAATGCGCCCCCGATCTACATAAATGCGTCGATCTTCGCGCGAATCATTCGTGATCCGATAATGTTTTGTAATGAATCTTTGGCAAATGGCCTTTCCTAATAATGTGCTAATTAGTAAGTTTCACGATGAATGTGGCTAAAGTAAACAGTCTCTCTGAGAGCAGCTCGGAAGAGAGGGGCGGGGTCAGCAGAGCTCATTAACATTTAAAGGAAAATGCTACAAAACGGCTTGCTCTGAAAAGAGCTGTTTTTGGCAGGGTAAAAAAATTTTTTTTGAGACATTTTAACCAAACTATGTTACAGACTTTTCATTAAGACCCTAAAGAATCATATCAACTTGTGGAAAATGGGCATTCGATGACCCCTTAAAAAAATAAATCTTACAGATCCAAAAACTTTGAACAGTCTTCAGTGTTCCAGATTCTTGTCTGTTCTTGACAGACGTCCCAAAGAGAAAATCGCAACAGGAATTCAGTTTGTGCCAGTTTTAAATTCATATTCACAATAATCCAAAACAAAAATGTGTGTGTGCTTACAGATCTCGTTGTAAACGCACCCCATCCCATTATTGCTGCCATTGATTTTCTGCCTGTGTTTATGTATGTGTGCTTTTACATGCTTTGTGTGTTTTTATGCTTGCGAGGCAGCGCTGTATTGATATTCATCCAGCAGTCATTGTTAGAGGTGCTTTTAAGTTGGCAGTATTATTGCTTGTGCTCATAGCGCTTTGGAAAAAAAAACACTGTTTTCTGAAAAAGGTTCAGTGTGAGTCGTCCTGCAGTGATTGTGCTTCAGATGTGAATGATTTCTCAAATCATGTGTTATTGAGGAGAGGTGTGCTGCTACTTTACTGAGTGATCAGACAATACAAGTGAAAAAAATACAACAGACAGATAGATATTACTTGGGTCATTCCTTTAGGGTATCTCAGATACTTGACCAATAAGCAACCTGTGAGTTTTGCAGTAATAATCCCACATACGTATATCTGCAATTAATTAAGCTCACGAATAGTCGCTTAACTTACAAAACATTTTTGGGATGTGGTACTTGGCACAGTGTGTCATGATTATATATGCCACATTTTGGTAGATATGTTTTGTTTGGGCTGAGGAATAACAAATGACATAAAATGCAGTTTATAGATCATTTCAGCCTGAGATGCACTGTCACAATTTTTTAAGTAATTTAATAAATAATTTAAGAAGTTCCTCAGAATCACCCAGTGACTTTGATAGAATTTAGCATGCAAAATGTAATTGGCAGTGACTTATTTGCATTCTGTTTAGTGATTGGTTCTCTTACTTACATTTATTTACATACTGATTTGTGATCTTTTCTTTCTTGTATCTGTTTAACCATCTATAGGTGCCTTTGTGTTGCTTCTGCTGCCTTGCAAAAACTGTTATTTGCTTTATGTTTAGCATCTGTTTTAATTAATTATAGTTTGTTTGGTATTTTAATACTTTCTTTCACAATGTCTGTTTATCAGTATGTTTGTGTGTGTGTGCATTGCAAAAATAATCAGTATTTCAAAATTAAAGCAAATTCTTATTTGCATTCTGTTTAGTGATTGGTTCTCTTACTTACATTTATTTACATACTGATTTGTGATCTTTTCTTTCTTGTATCTGTTTAACCATCTATAGGTGCCTTTGTGTTGCTTCTGCTGCCTTGCAAAAACTGTTATTTGCTTTATGTTTAGCATCTGTTTGAATTAATTATAGTTTGTTTGGTATTTTAATACTTTCTTTCACAATGTCTGTTTATCAGTATGTTTGTGTGTGTGTGTGCATTGCAAAAATAATCAGTATTTCAAAATTAAAGCAAATGAAACCATTTAAGAACAAAAATGACAGAATTAAGAGACCATGCATTATTATTTGGTCTTGTTTTTTCATGACCACAACTTAATTTCCATAACTTAATTTCCTTCCATTTTCTCATGATCTTGAATTGAGTGAAAAAAATGTTTTAAGCATAAGTCTTGTTTTAAACATAAATTCACTGTAAAAATGAATGCTTAATTAATTAAATTAAACATTTTAACCAATAAAGTAAAAAAACAAAACTTATTAAAGATATATTCTCTAAAAACAAGTCTTATATCTATGGAAGCCCATTTCCGCCAGTAAAAAAAAAGGGAAAAAAGGTTATTGCGACTTTTTATCTCACAATTCTGTGAAAAAAAGTCAGAATTGTGAGATAAAAAGTCGCAATGACCTTTTTTTCCTTTTTTATTACGAGTTATAAAAATTGCGAGTTATAAAGTCAGAATTGCGTGATATAAACTCACAATTGTGACTTTTTTTCTCAGAATTGCGTGATATAAAGTCACAATTGCAAGATAAAAACTCGCAATTCTGACTTTTTTCTCGCAATTGCGAATTTATATCGCGCAATTCTGACTTTTTTTCTCGCAATTCTGACTTTATAACACACAATTGCGAGTTATAAAGTCACAATTGCGAGATAAAAACGTGCAATTCTGACTTTTTTCTCGCAATTGCGAATTTATATCTCGCAATTCTGACTTTTTTTTCTCAGAATTGCGTGATATAAAGTCACAATTGCGAGATAAAAACTCGCAATTCTGACTTTTTTCTCACAATTGCGAAGTTATATTGCGCAATTCTGACTTTTTTTCTCGCAATTCTGACTTTTTTTTCTCAGAATTGCGTGATATAAAGTCACAATTGCGAGATAAAAACTCGCAATTCTGACTTTTTTCTCACAATTGCGAAGTTATATTGCGCAATTCTGACTTTTTTTCTCGCAATTCTGACTTTATAACACACAATTGCGAGATAAAAAAAGATTGCAATTCTGACTTTTTTTCCTCGCAATTGCGAGTTTACAGTATATCTCACAATTCTGACTTTTTTCTCGCAATTCTGACTTTTTTTCCTCGCAATTGCGAGTTTACAGTATATCTTGCAATTCTGACTTTTTTCTCGCAATTCTGACTTTTTTTTCTCAGAATTGCAAGTTTATATCTCACAATTATGACTTTTTAACTCACAATTGCGAGTTTGTATCACGCAGTTATGAGGAAAAAAGTCAGAATTGTGAGATAAAAAGTCGCAATTACCTTTTTTATTTTTTATTCAGTGGCGGAAACGGGCTTCCACATATATCCTATGAAATTTGCTTCTCAAATAAATGTATCTTGTAATAAGGATGTTTTAAGGAAAACAGCACAGAAGCACTGCAGTATGTGTGTCTGTTTCACTCACTGCATTGAATTCTTGACTGTATTCTTCACCTCATCCTGTGTGAATCCTGCTCTCGTCTGGTCATCTGCTTGACCATGAGTGATGTTCAAGGCTACAGGTTTCTGCCGTTCACATCCAGCATTCTGCACCAAATGCTGCCATAAACACAAACACCCACAGCACTAACCAAATAAACACAGAGGGTAAGTGTGAACTATTGATTTCTATCAGGGAATATTTCATGGAGACATTGAGGGGTTCATTATTTATATATGTACAACAGAAGTGCAGTGCTGTCTGCTGGCAGAGCACTAAAATATATATAAAAACATCTTGCTTGTATCATGCGACATCGGTGTGATCGGCAGTGGCGTGGTGGGAGATTTCTAGCCTCAGAATCTGTTCACGGGGCGTCTGAGGAACTTTGCACACAACAATGTCAACAGCTCTATCAAAATGGCTGATTTATGCAATTTCGTGTGAACATTGTGCAAAACATTTTACAGCAACTTGTGTTACACGGTCATATAGATTGGGACAATATGAGGGAAATGTTCTTGAATAAGCACCAGTGTTATTTTAGTATCACATATATATACTATCATAGTTTTTTTTTGTTATATATTTTGAATTCGATTTTATTTTTTAGGCTTTTTTATTTGAGCTCTTTTAGTACTTAAGGTTAAACTAAATCAAAATGAGAAATGTTGCCTTGACAACTAGCTGACATTTGACTGTATTCTTCACCTCATCCTGTGTGAATCCTGCTCTCGTCTCCTTCATATCTGCTTGACCATGAGTGATGTTCAAGGCTACAGGTTTCTGCCG